CACACACACAACTTGGTAAAATATAGACAGACATCTATACATATAAGTTCATTTCATCCATTATACTTACTGATTAAAAACATAAAACTACACCCCCTTTGTTTCTTTGAATTTTTTATTAAAAAATCATTGCTTTGCTGGTCTTTCTTCCTCTCTTAATTATTACATTGCAATACTTACACAATCCTAATGAAATGCTACCCTTCTCTTCTATTGAAAGATATGGCTTAAACTAGACTTAAAATTCTCAATGAATTGCCCATTTTTGCCCTTTACCCCCGAAATGTCATAGGAAGACATGGTCGTCCCAGCATCATCAACAGATTGTTTGATTTTATGTTGGGGATTCCATAGTCTTTTTTTCTTTCTTTTTATTTATTCTATGCATCTTTTACATCATGTATCTTGATCCCTTCTATTTCTCTGTCCCTTCCTGTCTGCCCTCTGACCCTGCATCTCCCCCCCAAAAAAAAATAAAACAAAATATGATAAAAGGGGAGGAATAAAAAAATCTCATCATGGAAGCTGCAGTGTAACACAATGAGTCACACAGGGACTTATACATCCCTTTGCCCATGTATCTTTACTTGCAAGTGTTCATTGCAAAGGGTCAATGGTCTGGTTTGAGACCTCTGGATTCTACTATTGATGTTGGGCCCTCACTGGGACTCTTCTTGGATATCCTGTTGCCCTGTGTTGTGGAGATCCTAGAGCTCTTGATCTGTGGGTCAGGTTCCTTCTCATGCTCCAGTAGGTCATAAATGGGGTGGAGTCATATCCCTGGTTCTGGGCCTGGGCAGCTACAGGGCTGGTCCACCCACCGGTTCTCCCCTGTCCTCACCACCAAGGGTGAGCTCCCCTGCATTGCCCCAGCTAATTCTCCTCTTGTTGCAAAGACTGAGGGGTGGGGCCAGTTCTCCTGCTTTCCAGCCCTCGGGGTCAGCTCTCCCATACCTAGCCATCAGGGCCAGCTCTATTGTATTGCCCTGGTGAAGTAACTCACTGGTGAGGGAGCAGGGACAGCCATCCTGCTTTTATGGCCCCAAGTCAGCTCCTCCACCTATCTCAGACATTGATGGGCAGGGGGTGGGGAAGAGGGCATCTCTCCTCTGCCCCTGCTGCCTGCCACATATCAGATAAGTATTGGGGACAGGATCTCCCTTGCTCATATCGGGAGTGGTCATCCTCACCGCCAACTGACCACCACTGCCTTGGTGAGGGGCAAGGCCCACTCTCCTGAAGACTGCAGCTGATAAGGAGGAGGGTCAGCTCTCTCATCTATTGCAGGAGGCAAGGGGGTGAGGGTAAGGGGGGCATCTCTCCCCTCCCATATGGCTGCATGACAGAACATGCATGCTTACAACTTTGGGATTGGTTCATCCACAACTCCTCCAACAGGGTTGGCTCTACTGTGTTACCCAAGTGAGGTCCAGGGCATGTGCTCCCAAGTGTTGTAGCTGGGGGTGGGAGGAGGTTGGGACCCCTACTCTTATGACCACAGGACCAGCTCTCCCACCTGCCTCAGGCATTGATGGGAGGCTTCTCTTCTCAGTCCATACCTTTTTTATGAATCACATATTGGCATTTTGATGCTTGATGCTTGTCTGCCCACATGTATATTGCTCATGACAATTCCCATTTTGTTGTTATTCTCTCAAAGAATCCTTTTTTTTTGTTTGTTTGTTTGTTTTACTGCGAACCCTTTGAAGAAATCATTCACTCTGTAGTTACTTATTTCTTCCTTGGACTTCAGGGGGTCAAGTAGTTTTCCGACACTCTATTGCCACCTTAATCAATAAATAAGAAAAGTGAAAATCAAAGTTCAAACTTGGGACTGGAGAGATGCCTCGGTAGTTAGGAGCACTAGCTGATCTACCAGAGAACCAGGTTCAATTCGCAGCCCTCACATGATGGCTCACAACCATCTGTAACTCTAGTCCCAGAGATCTGATGTCCTCTTCTGGTTTCTCGAGGACATTGCATGCACATAGTGCACAGACATACATGCAGTCAAAACACCCACACACGATAGATAGATAGATAGATAGATAGATAGATAGATAGATAGATAGATAGATGGATGGATAGATTGATAGGTAGGTAGATAGGTAGGTAGATAGATAGGTAGATAGATAGATAGATAGATAGATAGATAGATAGATAGATAGATAGATGATAGATAGATAGATAGATAGATAGATAGATAGATAATAGATAACTTGCTCACTTACTCACTCATGGGGCCAGATAATTGGCTCAGTAGTAAAGAGCACTTGCTGTTCTTCCCAGGGGATCCAAGTTCTGTCCTCAGCACCCGTGTGGGTGGTTCAAAATTACCTAAAACTCCTACTCCAGGGGATCTGGGGTTCCCTTCTGACCTCTGGAGGCGCACGCACATGCATAGCAAAGACTCACACAGACTCTAAATGTAATTTAAAAATTTTAAATCTAAAAGAAAAAAAAACTAAGCTTGTAACTTGCAATTATAAAGTAAAGTGACTTTGAAATAACATTTAAAAAGACTGGGTATGTTACCAGTAATCAGAAGTGCTGTCTGCATTGGGAGTTTCTAGGTTCTTGGCCTCTTATTCAGAAATGAAATAAAAGCCCACACAAATTCCACAGTAGTGAGTAAACTTTATTTAAAGAAATAAAAAAGGATCAGAATATATGATAGAGGAGCAGCCAGTAGCATTAGTGAAATACTTGTGGGTCCCAATTACTGCTTGGAACATTCTTTTATGAGGTTCAAGAGAAGAGGTAATTTATTTACTAAAGGGGACTTCACTATTTTTGCTCCGTAATACATCTTATTTTAATCATAGGCATGCCCAATTATGCATAGGCGTAAGACGGTAAATAGAAAAGCCATTTGAGTACTCACATTT